GACTGGTTCCCATGATGAGAGGCTGTGTTGTTGGGGTGGGGTCTGGGTTAGACCATAGGAGTGAATGGAAAGTCCCCACAGGGATAGTATCTCAGTGGGAGTGTGTGTGCTGCAGGTCACTGTGGGTCAGCCTATATTTGTCGTGTGCTTTTATTTCCTGAACACACAGAGCGGTGCCAGGCGGCGGCGGCGGTGGCGGTGATTGAAGTCACTCAGATAGTTTCCATCTGAGGCAGCATGTAGGGGGGGGGGGGTTAGAGGCTCTGTTTAACGGTTATTTAAGAGCGCCGTCCCGCTCGGCGCTGTCCAGACGTCTCTGACCGCTCCTCACGGTCAGCTCTGTGTGCATTGTGGGTAATGTGGGAGGAGCTTAGGGCATTGGGGCTCTAATCCATGTGTTGGGTGTCAGAGGCGCTCTGAAGGAGCGGCGGAGACGGCGGCTGATCCTCCTGAGCCGCAGGGGGCGGAGCCTCAGTCACACCTTCTCTCTGTCCACCTGCAGATAATCAGTTCAGGATGTCCATCCTGGAGCGGCTGGAGCAGATGGAGCGCCGGATGGCGGAGATGGCGGCTCGAGACAGCACCCACCTTCATCATCATCATCATCATCATCAGCAGAGTGGGAACCAGCTGGCCACGCCCCCTCCTCCTCCTCTACCTGAGGACCACCAGCAGGTGAGGCAGCCTTACTCCTCCTCTGAGGTCAGCAGCTCCAGGCTGCTGCTCCTCCTGGTTCCTCCTGGCTCCTCCTGGCTCCTCCTGGCTCCTCCTGGCTCCTCCTGGCTCTTCCTGGCTCCTCCTGGTTCCTCCTGGTTCCTCCTGGCTCCTCCTGGTCCTCCTGGCGGGTCGAACCGGCCGCAGGCCTGGCAGCGCCTCCACCTGCTGAAAGCTCCGTCAGCTGTTCAGCAGCTGATGACACTCAGACCTCCTGGAGGATTAGCAGACCCTGGAGGCTCCGACCAGAACCTGCAGCTAAAATAGCCTCAGTTCCTGGACCGGAACAATCAGTCTGACCCAGGTTCTGGACACAGGTTCTGGACCCAGGTTCTGGACCCAGACCCGTCCTCAGGGCCCGTTCTGATCCCTCTGTGCCCTGAGAGGAGAGTCGGGTTCAGAGAGACGGATCAGAACCAGTAATCCTGTAAAGCAGCTTAATCTGATGGAAACAGGATCAGAGCTTAAACCACCAGCACAGCGGGTCAGAACTGTCAGAACCTTCATCCCTGATCCGCTCCTTCCTGGAGGAAACACAGCGGTTCTATCCAGGCCCGGTAGCTCAGATGTGACCCAGAACCACCTTAGTTCTGGGTCACAGCGGTTCTGATGAAGGTTCTGACTAAAGACGCTTTAGTTACTGCATCATAGCCTGATGATGATGGATCAGTTGGATCAGAACCATCCATCTCCTCCCTTCATCTGTTTTTCTTTCTGAACCAGAACCAACCCGGTTCTGTCCGTCCTCCATCTGTGGATCTTCAGAACTGCAGGAGGATGGATCAGAGCATCATCTGTGCTCTAGAACCTTCTCTGGTTCTGGGTTCTCAGAACGGGCCTGGCAGCCGGTTCCTTTACATCCATGATGGACCGTGGATGGTTCTGGACCCGCATTGACTCCGCCTCCTTCAACTGGATCAGGTTCGGACCTGATCCAGTCTCTGGTTGTAGAATCAGGCAGGTGATCCATGTGTCCCTGGTTACCATGGTGATGGGTTCTGGCAGCCGATTGGCCGTGTGAATCAGAACCCGTCCCGGCGCTGAGGGACGCTCAGATGAAGACCCAGCAGAGCGTCAGGCTGTCAGCGCCGCCGGCCAGAGGCTCATGTTCTAGCCGCAGCTGTCGGCGAGCGGGACGGAGGAGGAGCAGCTGGCTGGAGGCGCTGAGTGATGACAGCGGGATGTTTCCAGAACAACGCCGCCTCACTCTCCTCTCTGTCCTCGGCCTCGCTCGGCCTGCGGCGCCCCCAGCCTGGATGTTCCTGGAGGACATCAGGTTCTGGTTGGACCCAGAGGGTTTGGATCCGCTCTCAGACTGATGCTTCTTCAGACGATAATCCTAAAATGATTAAATGACTTTCTAAGGGAATCAAACTAGCAACTGTTGGTGATGAAGATGGATGCTGAAGAACAGCTGAACAGAACCAGAATATTCTGCAGGACTGGCTGTAGGGTCACTCTACAGAAACTGTTTTACTGTGTTAAAATGAGGCGGTTCTGGTTCTGACCCGGTCCGCTGAGCATCCACCAGTCAGAACCGGTCGGTCTGATCTTCGTTCCTCTGTCTCAGTCCCCTCAGTGGTTCGAGAGGAGGATCGTCGCCGTCTGTGAGCGGATGATGAGAGGAGCGCGATGGGGAGGAGGAGGAGGAGAGCGTCTTCATCACCCGGTCCGCCACCGTGGGATGACTCTGCTCCACCTGGCTGCTGCTCAGGGATACACCCACCTGATCCACACCCTGATCCACTGGAGGTAAACGTTCTGAGAGTTCACCAGGAGATTATGAATATGTTAAATACTAGAACTGGAATAATAGGTCATTCAAATCAAGGGTAAAGCTAGTTATTTATTATCAGCTGAATGATTCTAACTGTAACTTGTTTACCGACCAGGGTTTTTAGCCTCTTTCCTTAAAGGTTAGACTCCTGAATCCAGCTGTTAAAAACCCAGTTGTCTTTCACCACTTTAGTAACTTAGGCTGTGGCTCTATGGCTCTTAGCAACGTTATTAACCGCCAACCTAATAAATGTGTCTCTGTTCATTCTGATGCCACTGAAAGAAGAAGGAATCCAACCTGAGTGATAAATCGTTCACTGTGGAAAATGAAAACAAAGACCACGAGTTAAAAATACAATGATACCTTTATTAGCTACAATCACACAGTATTATATCTAATAACTGAGCAAACGCTAAACACTACTGAAAATAAGCACAACTAAAGCAATAAAAGGGGTTTAAGCGTCCATTCAAAGCCTGTGATGTTCGAAGTTTAAGGCTTAATGCATTGAAAGTGTCCTTTATAATAGCAGCAGATAAAATGTAAATAAACCCTGAAGCAGATGTTAACTGGAGTCAAACAGTGAAGTTTTATTCAGTTTATGGTGAAAAAGGAATAATGACTCAGGAATGCATTAAACTATGATGAGGCTGAAAGACCCGTTAGCTTAGCTAGAAAGGAGGGGGAAGGATAATGTTACTGTTACGGTTCGGTGGAGTGAAGGCCTTCGGCTTGGTCCGATGTTCTGCAGACCCGTCTTTAGTCCAGTTCGTTCATCCAACATTAGATCTCAAAGAGATTCCGATGCAACAAATTTGCAAGGGGGTTAATTTTATAACCCACGGTAGCATAGGAAGTCTACCGATTAGCTACCGCGGCTAGCTTGTAGCTGCAGCCTCCAGCTCCGTCTCAGGCAGTCACAGGTCTGGCGGCTTCTATCGGCTCCTTCGGTGAACAGCGTTCGGGGCCCCGTTGTTCATCGGTTAGATTAAGGTTAGCAGAGCTGGATTAGCTCTTCTCTGTCAACTCTGTTTGAATCGCTGGAAGAATAAAAACACTGCGTTCAACTCTGTTTACTTAGCGTAGCATTTAGCGCGAAGTGCTTCCGCATCTAGCCTTTGGCAGTCTAGGACCAAAAGCAAAATAGAACGTTGACATGGGAAGTTATCTGTTTTATAACCTCTGCCAGAGGGGTGTGTCTTCAGAAGGGAGCAGTTCCGGTTACATCAGCGGTACTTGATCACAACATAAACATCTGGTCCTCTCAGTGCGCCACCTCGTTGCCATGGTTACATAGCATCTGCTTTTCTCAGTACGCCGCCTGGTTGTCATGGTAACACTGTGCGTTGTCTGCAGAAGCGTTATCGGCGACAGTTTGGACCTGGAGCAGGAAGTGGACCCTCTGAATGTCGACCATTTCTCCTGCACGCCGCTGGTAAGCCCTCACCTGACCCACATGGAAGCCGTCAGGTCGTCACTATGGTTACCGTGGTATGACTCTGTGTTTCAGATGTGGGCGTGTGCTCTGGGCCACCAGAGGGCAGCGGAGCTCCTGTACAGGTGGAACAGTCGGGCTCTAGGGATCCCGGACTCGCTGGGCCGCCTGCCGCTGGCTGTGGCGCGCTCCAGGGGTCACACACGCCTCGCCGCTGCCCTGGAGGAGCTGCACACACAGCGCGCTCAGCTGGCTCCCAGGGAAGACACTCTGCCATCTCCTCTGTCCACCAGCCCAGATACAGGTAACCTCCTGCCGTCACCTGATCTGAGGCCTGCTCTCTGATTGGCTAACACCTCTCCTGTCTCCGCCCACCAGGTCTCAGCTCCTCAAGCAGTCTCCCCTCCCCCAGCGACCCTTCCTCTCCTTCTCCTAGCTCCGCCTACTCCAGTGGCCCCGCCCCCATGGACACCTCCCCCTCATCGCCCTCATCCCTCTCCTCTTCCTCGCTGATAGTGTCTCCCCCCTCCCTTCCTGCCGTATCTCTGTGGAGGGAGGAGCCTAACGCTGCCTTCAGTCCAGGTAACGTGAACTCTGAGGAGGAAATGACCTCATGACACCTAGTAGCTAACGCGAGGCTAACTACAGCTAACGAAGTCGTCTTTATACTGATCTTTTTCACAGGTTTGACGGCCGGCGGCTCCAGAGACGCCTCCCTGTACCTCATGGACTATGAGAACGCCCCGCCCACTGACACGGCGGGTGGACAGCAGCAGCAGGAGGCGACGCTGGAGGAGCAGTTGCTTAGCTACAGCGAGAACGCCGAGAATGAAGGAGAAGAGGGGTACCTGGATGAGGAGGTGCTTCAGGTAGGGTATATTGTCATGGCTAGAGACTAACCCATCATGAAAACGTCCAGCTCACCAGCCTCTCTGCTTATCAGGTTGACATGGCAACACTAGCGGATCAGATCATCGAGGCGACTCCAGAGCGAATCAAACAGGAGGATTTCCCAAGGGGGGCGGAGTCTCCGCTCAGAGAGAGGCAGGACAACCCGGCCATCCAGGACACCTGGCTGGCTGCCTACCTGGAGACGGTGGACTCTCAGCCCCACTCCCCTCCCAGGTGAGAGCAAACTGCTGGGAACTGGATCCAGATGTTTTCCTCACATCTGTAAAAGTTGCCTCCGTTCATCTATGTTCTCCGCTTCGTCTTTCTGCTGCAGACGGGTGTGCCCCCCCTCGCCCCTCAGTGCACTGGCCCTCCAGAGGCTCCGCCCCCCTTCCTCTGCGGCCTGGGCAGAGTTCCTGAATGCCTCGGCCAATGGGAAGATTGAGAGAGACTTTGCTCTTCTGACGCTGACGGACGGCGAGCAGAGAGAGCTGTACGAGGCGGCCAGGATCATCCAGAACGCCTTCAGGAGATACAAGGTAACCATAGAAACCATGCTGCCATGGAAAGACCCCAGCCCCCTGCAGGCCAAACAGAGAAATAACTGCTATGTTTGCTGCAGGGCCGCAGGCTGAAGGAGCAGCAGGACATGGCGGCAGCCGTCATCCAGAGATGCTACAGGAAGTACAAACAGGTGAGTGTCGGTGTGCGTGAGTGAGGGTGTGCTGTGGCTTCACTAAGTGAACTAACCTGCTGTCTTTCTCTCTCTGGATAGCTAACATGGATAGCTCTGAAGGTAACCCAGCTGCTGTAGATGTAGTGCTGTGTAGTCAGTGTGTCTGTGTGATGCTTCTGGTTGCCTAGAGACAGAGATGCTAGTCAGATTACCTCCATGAAACCAGTTTAGACTGGTGGAAACCGAACTAGCCGAACTATAACCATCAGGAGGACTGAACCCTGGGCTCAGCTGACCTGCTCTGTTTAACGCTCTGACTCTCCCCCCCCTCAGTACGCGCTCTACAAGAAGATGACCCAGGCAGCCATCTTGATCCAGTCCAAGTTCCGGTCCTACTACGAGCAGAAACGTTTCCAGCAGAGCCGGCGAGCGGCCGTCCTCATCCAGCAGTACTACCGCAGCTACAAGGAGTACGAGAAGCTGAAGCAGGCGCCCAGAGGGGGCGCCACCCACAACCCCAAGATCAAGTAAGACATCCACAGCAGGGACAGAGACTAGACCCAATGGCCGAGCAGGATCACTCTAAGGAACCAGGGTCTCTGTTGCGGACCAGGGTCACTGTCTGGGACCAGGGTCGCTGTCTGGGACCAGGGTCGCTGTCTGGAACCAGGGTCATTATCAGTAACCAGGGTCACTGTCAGGAGGAACCAGGGTCACTATCAGGAACCAGGGTCACTGTCAGGAGGAACCAGGGTCACTATCAGGAGGAACTAGGGTCACTGTCAGGAGGAACCAGGGTCACTGTCTGAGGGAACCAGGGTCACTGTCAGGAGGAACCAGGGTCACTATCAGTAACCAGGGTCACTGTCAGGAGGAACCAGGGTCACTATCAGTAACCAGGGTCACTGTCAGGAGGAACCAGGGTC